ATAAAAATAATTTTTAATAATAAATGTTATATTATTATAAAGTATGTATAACTATATAATTAATATATATATTTATTTATTTACAAAATTTGATATTTTAAAACAGAAATCTTACTATCGTAGGAGGTATTCATTGAATTAAGTCATTTTGCTCACATTAAATATTTTCATTTTTACATATAATTTATCCTCTGTAAATAAATTATTTAAATAATAAATATAGTTAACCTTATATAATTTAAGTTTTAAACTTTAATCCATTATAATAAATTCACAGACATAACTATGTGTCTATGATACCTATCGATTCAAATAATTTATATCATGATTTTCATTTATAACTCAATGTTAAAAGTATTTTTTTTTTATTCATTCTATTTTATAAAATAAATTCATTATTATCAGTGAATATACCACTTATTATACAATAATATTTTGTAATACATGCCATGTCATCATTTAATAATAATTTTTTAATGATATTAAATTTTACACAAATTAGAACATTCCGTGAAATAGACAATAGTTTTACTAGTTTTTTTTTTTATGCAAAATAAACTGTTTTCTCATGTTTAAATTTTATTAGTCTGATAAGCAGGGTAAAGTGAAATTATCTTTTCTAAAATCCAGTTTTCTATTAAAGTATTGGTTATAGTGTTTTGTTTTTTTTCTTCTTATTTTTACACAAATAATTAATCAGGAACGATTTAAATGAAAATTTTTTCTAACAATACTTCTTCTAAAATTATCAAAACTATTGGTATGCATTTTTTTTCAATTATCTAGCGTTCCATACCAATTAATTAGTTATAATTATATATACAGTTTGTTTATATATAAATTAAAAATATTTTTGAGAACCTTTTTACTAAAAATAATAATATTTTTTAGTAAATAAAAAATTCTTAAAAACATTTCTAAATTTGTATTCAAATAGATTTATTATCTATGATATTATATATATATATATAGAGGAGGGTTCAAACGACACCAGTGTAACTTTTACTAAGTGTTACACCGCTCAATAACTTTATATTAAATGTGAATTTTATAAATCTAACCGTTAGATGGAAAGTTCATATCTCTTAGATCATATATGTCAAATTTTGTTAAAATTGAACAACAACTAGAAGGTAATCAAAGTGTTCATATTTTAGTATATTTTGAAATGTATATATTACGTCAATTTTATTTTATGAGAATGAAGTATCAAATCATCTTAGATTAATATAAAATTTGATATATATGATCTAAGAGATATGAACTTTCAATCTAACGGTTAGATTTACAAAATTCACATTTAATATAAAGTTATTAAGCGGTGTAACACTTAGTTAAAGTTACACCGGTGTCGTTTAAACCCTCCTCATATATATATATATGACCCAAATTAATTTTTTTAATAAAAGTTAATGTAAAATGTCTCTTAACATATAATAAATAAACTTAAGTTAACATCATTTCTCTTAATTCAATAATATTTGGTAAAGATCTTATTATTGGTAATAGTTTTAGAAATTTAATTAACTTGTATGTTAATTAAAAAATTAGTTAACATCATTTAATATGATTAATCTTAATTAATATTAATTATTTTACCTATAGTACTTTCATTGGCACATGATGTTAAGAATAAAAAAAACATTATTAAAAATAAAATTTTAATTAAATAAAAAATATTTTAGACATAATAACATTAAATGTGATTAAATTAATTAATATTTATTTTTATTTAAGTTAATCATTCATAAATTTATTTTTTATTTTGCTTATATTTTAGTTTAGAGTATAAATTTAAGATAAATTTAATTTTATTAACTAAATTAATTAATTATATTTATATATATACACACTTCCTTAATTATAAGGAATTAAATAATTGAGTCAAAATTAATTTTCAACCATTGATTGAAAATTCATTAATGCAAATTAAGAAAAAATTATCATTATATAAATTTACTTGAAATTTAAGCTTATATAATAATCTGAGTTGATTGTTTCCTAATTTCTCTAATGATGTCATCTTAATCAAGAAGAACAAAGAGAAAGGCATTTTGAATTATTTAAATGATCCACTATGATCATCATTGAAGAAAAAAAAAGCGTTTACTTGAAGAATGGCAGAGAATATTAAATTGGAAAGAAAGAAAAATATATTCGACGCAGAGAAGGAATATCCTAATATGCCCTTTGGATGGCTTGGAATAGAAATTCACCAATCATTTATGCAAAATTCACATTCTTCTTTTTCTTTTCTTCTGCATCACGTCTTCTTCTACCTCTCATATCTCCTCAAATTCTCACACCTATCTTTTCAACATTGCTATCCAATATCTATCATCATCTACCTGTTAAAGA